ATGCCGGGGTTTATCCGTGGACCACAGACTGATCAAATCCAATATAAAGGTTTCGTTGCCTCGTGAAGAAGACAAGAAATTGAAGTAACTATCTCAGCGAAGCGAGATAATCACTCTTCTCGAGAATCGCAGCTAGGTACGATCTTAAGGAAATGGATGAACTGATGCAGATCTCTCAAACTCTTCCTATTTATGTTGAATAGCTCGCCGGGATCTCTTCCTCCTCTCTAAAATTTGTGCTCCTCACTCTTCAGTTTGACAGGACGTCGCTGAGGCTTGAGAATTCTGGATCTGTACAAATGAAGGTCCTAGGACTGTATTTATAGGCTTCAGAAGCCTTATTTTCAGATAAGAACGAATGATTTGTTCTTATCCTCAGTTGTAACCACTTAACCACGTTTATAGATAACCTCAAATCAGTTTGGGAGGCTCTGGATCAGAATCGGACAGTTAGCAGTGAAAAAATGGGCGTAGAACAGCTTTTTTCGGGGTCGGAACTGTCTTGGCCAAGCCGGGACAGTTCGAACCAGGCCTGGACAGTCCGGGCCATGCCGAGACTATCTCGGCCCTGGCCGAGACACAAACGTGTCTTGGCTTTGGCCGAGACGTCGTTTTTCCCCTTTTGACTGTTTTCGCCGTAATTCCTCGGTCCGATCTCGGAATGGCGCGATTCAAGATGCGTCAGAAAGCCAAAGAAGAGATCTACAACCTTCCAAGGGCGAATCCTATGTGGAACGGGTGAGACACAAGTGGCACTTTACCTTTCGTGAGTTAAACGTAATTCCCAATTGGATCGTTTCTTTGCTATTCTGCCGTCCCGTTGACTCGTATGTTTCGTCGACTCGCTTCATTTGCTTATCGACGTCAGATAATCCTCTTTGACTCAGATAATGATGTTAATTGTCTTCTCTCCATCTTGAGCTGCGTGCGGGAACCCATATGTAAATTTTGACGCCTACAATTGATATTAGTTTATCATAGGGAGTTTTTCATAATAATATATCATATGTAAGTATATTGTATATACTTATAACTTAAGAGAGAAGGAATCACATAAGTATATATTACTTACTTATAAAAACGTAACATATAGTTATGTTTGTATCCGTTACATACTTATATTATATTTAAATGTAATTATATAATTTACTTATGTGATATACTTATATATATACTAGATGCAATATACTATATTTATATATAATTATACTTATGTACTTATATAAAATATACTTATATAAGTCTATAATATACACATATAAGTATACTTATAACTACATTATATATACTTATATCTTAGTATTAGAATCTACACCTTGGTAAGAGTGTATATATATATAAGTATATAATATATTATACTTGTATACTTACAAGAGAGAGTGTGTGTGTGTATAGACACACTTGTGTACTTAAATATATACATTTAGGACTAGGAAACTACGACCATTTTTCTAAAAAAACCACATATACTTAGAACTATTTATATATATATAATATATAATATATATATATATATATATATATATATATATATATATATATAATATATATATATATATATATAATATATTATATATACTTGGCGTACTTAAATACATAACAATATATACACTTAGGACTAGAGCTAGCGGTCATTATATCTAAAAAAAACCATATACACTTAGAAAATATATATATATATATAATAATAGTATATATATATATATATATATACTATATATTATATAGTATTAACACACACGACACAATTAATGAACCATATTATAAATAAATTCAATATAAAGAAAGACACACACACATATAATGAGAAATATGGAGGAAACTTGTAACCAAGTTTTCTTCACTTGAACTTGGTAGTGAGTGGCCAAATCGCGGCACCTTACATCACGCCTCGAAAGGGAGCGCTCACTACTTTTAAAAATAGTTCCATCCTTCGGGTGTGATGTAGGGGGCGTGATTTGGCCACCTCATCACCAAGTGCAATGGAAAGAACTTGGTAAGCAAGTTTCTGCCATATTTCTCTGGTTTCCTATCTCTCTCTCTTCTCTAATATATATATACTATATATAAATATATATATATATATATATATATATATATATATATATATATTATAGTAATATATATAATAACCAGATAGGGCCTATCCTCCTCGATTCATTTGTTAGCACTTGGACCCTCTCAATTCAAGAGAAAGTGGAATGTTACTTGTAATGTACCTTTCTAAAAGAATGTCGTTCTGGTACTACAGCAATAAATATTTTCTTTCTTTGGAAATGAAGCAATTAGTGAATTGTTTAAAGAGGTCCTAGTAGGGGTGCCAAACGGTTCGGATATATCCGAACCGATCCGCATCCGTATCCGAACGGATACGGATATGGTAGGCTAATTTTGAAACCGGGCGGATACGGATACGGATACGGATATGGTTTCGGATTTTTTTTCGGATACGGATTCTGTAACGGATATGAGGGTTGCGGATACGGATATCCGCAATGTAATAGTGATTCGGATAATCGGGTCCCAAATTTATAGTTACAAACCCGCTAACCCAAAACCAAAACATAAAAAGAAAAAACCCTAAGCCCTCACCCTCACTCCCTCAGCCATCATGCAGCCTCCACTCTCCAGCCCTAGGCCACCTCCACTCTCCAGCCCTAGGCCGCCTCTCTCTCTCTCTCTCTCTCCAGTCTCAAGCCGTTCGCCAGCGATTCACCAGCGATCTCACAGCCGTTCGCCAGCGATCTCACAGCCGAAAATATCCTCCCTCAGCCCAAAAGAAATAAATCAACGTGAAACTTTGGGTTTTTAAAATGAAGAGCCCAAAAGAAAAAGAAAACCCCTAAAATTTTTCTTTTGCTTGCCTGTTTCCAAGTTAAGAGCTCAATCAAAACCCTATTGCAATCGAGAGGGCGATGTAGGATGCGTGAGTTCCAAATATTCGATTTTCTTCCAGCGTAGGTCGATTGCTGGTTCGATTTTTCAATGGCTAAGCGAGTCTATGAAGTTTGGAAAGGAAACAATGTAAGCTTTTTACGATTTCATTTCTTGGTTTTGGGGTTTTTAATTGCATTTAGCATCTGTGCGTGTGAAAATAGTTGGACTATTTATTTTCCCAAGGTTTAATTTGCTACCTTTGGTGAATTTGGCATGTGGGCATGTGTGAATCTTTTAGTTCTTTGAGCGTGTCATGTTGGATTTGCTTGCTGGGTGGAATTTAGCATCTGGGTATGTTTGCTCAGTTCATTTTGTATGAGGAGTTGAGAATTTTGGTAATAATAGAGTTTTTGGCTTTGTGTTTATTGGAGAACCTTTTTAGTTGCTTGTACTTGCTGTAATGGGGGGTTGAGTTTGTGAAATGGTGATTGTTCATTCTAGTGTTTGTATATGTATTCTGAAGTCATGGAACAAAAATCAAGCATGTGAAATAAGGCACTATATCAAACATTTGGTTAAACTAATAAATTACCCTGTGCAGGTAAGTATCTGGGGAATCAGACATTTTGTAGTGTCAGATGGCTCAGCACGGACGGGTCTACAAGGACGCAGTAGAGAAGTTGTTCAAATGTTGCTTGCTGTTGATTCAAGAGTAGTGTCAGTTGACTCAGTTCTCTTTTTGTGAAATGTTTGTCATGGTTGTCTGAACTATTGTTTTAGTTGGTTGTATAAACTTATTGTGTCATGGTTGTATGAACTTTAGTCCTCTTGTGAAATGTTGTGTTATGGTCGTCTTGTGAAATGTTTGTGTCATTGGTTGTGCTACTGAAGGTTTTGGATGAAGATTATGTCTAATAGATTTGTGCTCAATTTTAGTAATTCTAATTATATGTGAATTAAAGAGAAGCCTACAACCACATACATTTACCTATTTGGTTGTAATTCTAATTATACGTGAATATTCGTTTATATCCGTGATCATATCCGATCCAATTCTCAAATATCCGATCTGTATCCGTTTCCGAGAAGTGCGGATATGGTAAGTATTTTTTCTTACCGAGAATGATCCGTATCCGTATCCGTATCCGTTTATAAGAAGCGGATATGGATATGGTAAGTGTCATATCCGAACCGTATCCGCTCCGATAACACCCCTAGGTCCTAGACATAATAAAACTAGTTCTTAGATTGAGCACCCACATATCACACATAACATTTGTTTTAGATGCCTAGAAATGTTTTTATGTTTTTTTTTTTGACTCATTTCATGATTAGGCAAGAAAAATAGGCAGGTAGTATAACTTTAACTCTGCGGATCATCCATTAATTGTTCAATCAATGACTCTTTTTTTAAGATGGAAAATTAAAAAAGAACATATTAGAATATTACCATATATATAACATCTAATTTGTATACATATATATTGTAATTAAATACTAGAAAATAGTATATATATACTAGCTAGTGCGGTAGAAAGAGCTTTACCCAAAGAACAAATTAAAAGAGCAACCAAAACAAACCAGTTTTTTCATTAAAAAAAAAAACCAACCAATTTTAGTCCTGGTCTAGCTTCTTGCCTAGCTAGTATAGGATATCAATTGGTATTCTTCCACTAAACTAGTTTAAATAGGAGTTTCCAAAAAAGCCCTACCTAAGTAATTAATAATTCTAGTCACTAGTAACTTACAGTGAGATTTACGAATTACGATCAGCTATTGAGCAAATACGCATGCATCTTAGCTTGCCATGGATTAGATTTTATCCAGAACGAAGTTTCATCAAATTTATGTACCAAGCGGGGAGATTGAAAGCTAGTATTCATGCAACTCTTCACAGAGTAGCAGGAAAGAGGAAACAGACTCAGATCATCATCATCAGATGTTATGCTCGCAGCTTTCAAACGCCAAAATTAATAAAACAACAAAAAACAAGAAGTTCCCGCCTGACATTTTCTTCAGTTCATCTGACACAACAAAAATTGAAAAATATACCGAACCTGCTCGTGTTGGAGGCGCAGACATACAGAGATGCGCAACCAAGTAAAAGAAGATGCAAGGCGCTCTTACTCAGTAATCACAAAGAATAAGATTAACTTATACCAAGATTATGTATCATAAATACTTTTACAAAAACAGAACCCTACAAAAACCATAAATATCCTAAAAATTCCATTGGATTATCTAACAACACTTACAGAGCTCTACTCATTATTCTTCCTGCATCTCAACACCATTCGTCTGCTAGAGTTCTCGTGCCAACCACAAAACTTAAATCAACACCATTTCCTATATGCGATAAAGCTATCCTCCTTGCACATTGAAGGACAAAGACACCCAACTTGACATACACAAAACATGATCCTACGCCTAAAAGATGCCCAGGAAATCCTTCATCCTGTTCCAAATCCAACAAAAACATGCAAAAATTTTGAGTAAACATAAACATTGAATGATCAATAGCAATACATAATAGGCTTAATTGCAGATAGACCCCCTCTACTATTTCCCAATTGCGAAAAGGCCTCCTGTAGTTCTATTGTCATAGGTAGACCCCTTAAGTGAAATTGTTACTCTTTTACCCGAAGAGAAGGAGAAAATTGTTTTTCTTGACAAATAGACCTCGAGGGTAAAAATTCCACTCAGGGGGTCTATCCGCAATTGGGCAATGGAACAGGGGGTCTATTCACAACAATAAAACTACAGGGGGTCTATATTTAATTGGGTGATAGGCAGGGGTCTATCTGCAATCAACCCTATATAATAACACCACACCTTAACTCTGCTTTGAAAGAGCTCTTGGTACGATTCCTTCAAAAGATTTGCGCGACTCACGCCAAGGAAAAAACCAACCGGAATAATCTATATTCTTTGAGATCGCCATGAATATGTCAGATAAAAAACTGATCCCAAACAGCAAAACGAGGGATCATTTCAGAGCCTCTACCCCAAGAATGAGCAATCGCTCCGAGGCAATGGACCTTGTTTTCTTCCATGCGAATTTCTTGAATTTTTCAGTAGAGGTGTCTCTTAGGCTGTCAACTATTTAGGTTGGTTGCAAGATTGTCTGAGTGACCAAAATGTTCAGAAGATGTTTTAATCGAGCATCTTATAGAAAGACGCCTTCTGCATGTTTAAGGCTGTAGTATGGAATCATGGTACGAAGAGTATTCCCTCTGAGCAGTACCTGCAGTTGAACCAGAAAATGCTTATATTTACAAAAAGAGATCAAAGTGCAATGAGGAACTCAGCTATGATTTGGCCATTCAGAAGACACTGTAGCAACAAAAAAGAAAAAGAGAAATTTTGGGGAAACTTGCTGCTTTTACGTCACAACAGTGAATTTCAAACAAGGTTGTGGTTTTTTCAACAGCCCATCGCCTAAAGTGTCATTTTTTTAACCACCCAAACTATAGGTACTTTTAAGTTTTGCCTCCCAAATAATTACAATTGCTAATTCACCACCGAATTTGTTTTCCTACAACCTAACTAATGTTAAATTTTTAACAAGTAATAGGTGAATAGATATTTTGCCCCTGTTAATATATATGTAACTTTGACGAAAAATTGGAAATAAGAAGGTAGAGCAGAATGGTGCCAACAGAAGTTCGATACTCTTTGAGATGTAAATCTAGGGGTGTTGGGTTTAGGCCAGGTTCAAAGCCTTGACTAGACCCGGGCCTAGAGCTGCCCAACTGGGCTTGGGCCAACCCCGACCATTTTTATCGTAGGAAAATTTTCCTCTACTAAATGGTCAGGGTTGCCAACCCCGACCAATTAGATATGGCCCTAAATTAGTCGGGATTGCCAACCCCGACTAATTTAGCTTGTACATAGCTAAATAGTCGGGGTTGACAACCCCGACTATTTAGAGGCGACATTAAAAAAACCGACTCATTTCGTGGCCACGCTGCTGACGTGGCCACAAAATGGGTCGGTTTTAATAAATAAATCTGAAGTGGGTCTATTTTGGCAATTAAAAATATAAATGGGTTTATTTTAAAAATTTGTTCAATTAAAGTTTGGTCCTACACTTTTCAGCTTCGTTGTGACTTCAGTTAAATTCACTCTCATATTTTCAACAACATCTTTCATCTAATGAACGCAAGGGGTGTCCATCCAAGCTGGCCTGGCCTGAAGATTTGTTTCCAGGCTAGGCAAAAGGCCCTACCCAGACCAAGACTTGGGCGTGTCTCAGCAGTTCTACGCCTACCTAGTTTTTTACTTTTTTTCTTAAAAAAATTGTAATTTTTTGTAAAAAAATCACTAAGAACTTTTGCAAAAAATATGTAACTTATAAGTATTATAAGTATATACTTACATATATGTATATAATTATATATTATATGTACAAGTATCACATATTCACATGTATTATACATATACTATAAGTATATATGAGTATACTAATAATGTATAATTATTAATTATATACTTATAAGTACGTATATATATTTATGCTTATATGTGTATAGTTATAAATATATAGTTATAAATATATACGTATATACTTACGTGGTATATATGTATATACTTAAAGTATACACTTATAAGTATATAAATATACTTATTTATATATACGTATTACATAGTAATATATGTATATTTTATATACTTATGTTATTTTATTAAAGTATACTTATATTATATACGTATATATATACTTAGATATAATATATACTTATGTTATTTTATATAAGTATACTTATATTATATACTCATATGATATACGTATATATACTTAATTATAATATACTTATATATAATAATACTTATAATTATCTTATATATACTTATATACAATATATAATTATATACAATATACTAATAAGTATATTCAAGTATATATACTTAAAGGTATATATATAATAAATAAATATACTATAATAACAAAAACACCATCAAATATAAAATTAAATTATTTTGGCTATTTGGTAGGTTTTAAATTTCCCTTAGAGTTGGTCATAGTTCAAATCTCAAAATCATCAAATTTAACTATATTTTTTATATTAAACATGTATATATGCAGTTAGACCCCTGGTGCTCCCACATCGGCTAACCTAACCCAGAACTCAGCCAGGCCCAGGCCGCAAGCTTTTTGGACACCCATAAATCAACTTACTTTAGATAGAAAAGAGTTAATTTTTCTTGACCAAGATTGATTGTAGATCACAATATGATATTCCTCTGTCCCTGCTAATGGTAGGAAATCTAGGTTACTTAGGTACGGGTACGAGTACTGCTGTGGGTACGAGTACTGCTGCTGCAGGTACGGGCACAGGTACAAGACACAACAATTTGTAAACGGTAGGGTACCGGGAGACGGCTATACATATGCATATTATGTATATTTATATGTATTAAAATTAATAATGTACATAAGATCAATATTATATTTTCATTTACATAAGATTAATATATAAGAAATAAATGTGTAGTGTAGAATATACATCCAAAAAGTGTATGAGGAGTGTTTTCAATTAACACGTGCATTATATAATTAAGTATATGCCCAAATAAATATATGCATAAAAGAAGTGTCCAAGAGGTTTAGGTACGGATATGGATACTAGTATGTGTTGGATACGGGTACGACTTCCTAATAAAAGCACCTAGATAACATAGCAAGAGATAGAGTTATGATTTTAACCATTTTGGTGGGTAAAGGTAAACAAGTTGAAGATGACAGGGTACGATGTAAGGGGTTTGAATTTCCTTCTTAAAACAAAGTTTTTAAAAGGTTGCTTTTAGATTGGGTGTTGTTGGTAGAGATGATGATGGTTTAATTTTATACCGGTTCAATGCATCCTGATCCAGTTCAAGTTTGGACATATTCTTAAAAGTAACAATATTATTCAAACTTTGACTGGGTTAAACCTTAATATGGCTTTGGATAAGTCAATTCAAGATCAAACGTAAACAAATTGTTGGACATGGATCAAATGATAAATTTTTTAAATGATAAACGGAATCAGCTCTACATCTTAGCCTGAAACATCACTAAATATCAATCCGTTAGAAGTTCATATGAAAAAGAAATCTCAATGGAAGATACTATTGAAGATACATATTTATCTACAACTTTTAATATTAAAGTCAATACGAGGTAACGATAGGCTAGTGAACATAAGATCTCGATTAGAAGGAAAAAGGTGTTCTCACATGACTCTTCTTAGGGAAGCTATTGCAGAGCCTTTCCACGTGTCAACATTGGCATATCTTTTCATATTCAACAGAAATCGCAACATAACATAACAACACATTTGACCGCTGTCAAAGCTAGTCTTTGTCAGAACGTGGGTGCTAAGAGTAGCATCAAGGAAGGAACTTGCGGATGTGTCGAGGAAAGCAAGGTCTGATTGCTGGATAAAGCATAGAAATTTGTGTTGATGGGTGAAATCTGGATTTGCCGTAGCGTGGACAGTAAGAAGGGTTATCATGCTCACTTAATGCGAAGAAGGCCTAAATCTTGATGGGCCTTACAACTTTGGATAAACGACAGAGAAAATAGGGAGAAAGTTGTTTGAGGAAGGAATATTATGGAAACAATAGTTTATCAAAATGCACATTTATCTTCATATGTAAAATCAATTGCTAAAGAGGAGGTTTTTAGGGCTTACACCAACAAATTGTAATGAATAGATTATATTTAATGCAAGTTCCCAGATAACTATAGTCAAAATTTAATGGTAAAAGGTTTTTAATATATTTTTTTGTCAAAATCTAACAAGTGAATGAGATATTGGTCCCCCAAATCTCATTTATTGGATAATCATATTTGAATACGAGTCCCCCTAATCTCATCTATTTGAAAACAAGTTCCCTGAATCTCATCTATTAGGAGACAAGTCTCTAATATTCATATTTAGATACAAATCCCCATAAACTATTAAGTTTTTGAATAAATCCCTATGGTTAATTGAATTAACTTAATTTTCATCCAATTAACTACACTAATGGGGGGAGGGGAGGGGAGGTGAGGTGGGGTAGGTCCATTTTTCATGTTTTTCCTCGTCTTCAACTTATCCTTTTGCAAAGCTATAGAAGCCAATGTATCTTTGAACCCATTCAAAGTCAACTTTATCTTGCTGAACTTCCTAAAATCCATCCAATTTAAAATATAAGTCCTAACAGCTGCATAAGTTTAGTTGGGTTAAGTGGATGAGAATTAACCGTGAAGATTTGTTTTAAAGAACTTAAAAGTTTGAGGGACTTGTCGTCATATATGATGATTTGGGGGACTCATATCTAAGTAGATGAGATGTAGGGGACTTTTATCAAAATATAATGATTTTAGGGACTTGCAACTAAATAGATAACAGTTAGGTGATCAATATCTCAAAAACCCTTAAATATTTCTTACTTGCATCTCTTCAAAAATTTGGGTGATAGCCATCTCAGGGGACTAAAAAGGTTTCTAACTAGGATTGCGGTAATGGGATAGGACTGAATAACCATTCTCAGCTCTGTAGCCATTATGAATACTTCTTGGTCAAATCTTTCATCTATTCTTGAATGGTGAGGACATCCTTGTGTGGTGGCAAAATATATTTAGATAGCTATGGTGTCATCAAAGTAATAGTATTATCCGGTTAACTACAGAAAATGTTGTCTTTACTTTGAATAACCTATGGAAATGTAACTGGCAAGGACCACATATTTGCCCCTATGTATTATGAGAAATTACTTGATCACCTCATATTCTTCTACCAATTCAATAAGGTAGTTGGGGACCCTCTATGTTCACATATGAATTTACCCCAACTTCTCTTTTGTGTTTGGATCTTTAGTCGATGTGTTTTGTCGATGTTTAGTTTTTGCTTCTACTTTTGGATTGTTTAGTTAACCTCTACTTAATAAAACATGGAGACTAGTTAACCCATCGTTTCACTCAAAACAAGATCTAATGGGTGTATAATGTATACATATATACACCTAAGAAATCTTTCGATATTAAATAGACTTACTTTATTCTTTCAATTTATAGCATTCCAATTTACATGGAAACAAGGATAAATACAGATACATGCACAGGTATCGATATAAATGCAAGTATGGGTACCGATATGGGTGGGTACCAGACACGTCAAAGTGGTAAAATGTAGGCGTACAGACACATGGCTACATATGTGTGTATAGGGATGGGTATGCTGGGTATGGGCATGGGCAGTGCCAGTTTGGGCTCTTGAAGCAGCTTGCCGGGTTCAAGGTCGGAAAGGGTCTAACCTGGATCTGTGTGAGTCTGAATGGGTCAGGCTTGCCTCTCTGATCTCGGATCCAACATTGCACCCAGCTCGGCCTACGACCCGCCCGGAGGTAGACCGTGCTAGTACCGGCCCACGGCCCATGGGCCTCCTTTTCAACTTTTTTCGATTGTTTACTTTTAAACTATATTAAACTTATATTTATATTTATAAAACTATATTTAATTTTTTTCCCCTATTTTAGACTCTTTATTTATAATGAAAAATGGACATAACATGCGTGGTTCGAGCATTTTTTCCTTTCTATATATATATGCACAAATATAAATATAACACAGAAAACATCGCAAACACACAAATATACATGTTTCGAACATTGTTGTGTTACTAAATTGCGTTAGTGGGCTTCTAGGATTTTTTACAAAAAATTATTTTCAGATTTCTTAAAAAAGTAAAAATAAACTTTATAGTTAATCCGGGTTGGGCCTATATTGGGTCGGGTCTGCCTCTTTGGTCCTGGGTTTGGATCAAACCCCAACTCGGACCATGATCCTTCTTGAATATAGGACGGGTCGGGTCTGGCCCGGTATAGACTAGGTCGGGTTTTGGTTTAAATCAAGCTAGGTCGCGGTTCGTACCGACCCATGCCCAGCCTTTATGGAGGGGGATTAATAATTTACATGAGAAAATTATTGTTTTCCAATTCATATATTACTAGAATTAAAATTCATACCATATTTTAAGTTTCTTTTATTGTGTTGAACATTAAGAATTGAAAATTGCTCGTTTTTGAACTAGACGGCCCGATAGCCCTATATAGCCCTTTAAAATCATAGTTTCAATCATGGGTATGGGATGAAACGAGCCCAACCCACATGTCATGAGTTTCATAAATGATGTTAAGTGTAGGATGTATATCCAGGAAGTGTATGCCAAGTGTTTTAAATTAGGACACATATCATACCATTGAGTACATAACTGAATAAATGTATGCATGTATTCGAGGAATGTCCATGAGTTTCGGTAGGTGATACGTGCCGGGTACGGGTACAGCTTCATGACAGTACTACCCGTGTAATATAGGTAGCATTTTATAGCCCAGAAGAGATACTAATGTTTGCTGCTCAACTATCGAAGTACCTCTCGTGTCTTCTTTCTGAGATGGAAACCAAGCAGATAGCATACCCCTAATTTAATTCCGAGATGCACAGAAGCCAACAGGTGATCGCTACAAGATAATGGAAATTTCAATTTTGAGAGGTTTTAGGGTTTAAGTTGGGATTTTCTCCTTCATGATTTCGCGTCGATAAGATCATCAAATTATTGTCAGAGACGTAGCTCGGATTGAAGTTATAGTTGATTACATCCCTAATGCATACAAAAACCCTGTGTCCTACAGTCGTAGCTCCATAAATTTTGGGGGCAAAAATCAAATAAGAGAAGTGAGAGAAATAGAACCTGGGGTTTGAAAGTGAGAGGAGGAATTGCGCAAGTGGAACAAGCAGCGACCCTTTAGTACAAATAGCTTCGTTATTTCAACCGTGCGATGACTCAAATCAAAAGATGAGGAAACAAGGAGGAAGATGAAGCCAGAGACGCACCGGGCCTTTACGAGTGGGCTTTGGACTAGACTAATGTCTTGTCTATATACATGGAGGCCTGATAGATTAACATTGGGGAAATGGCCTAGTTTGTCCGTCCCCAGCATCCATTTGGAAGTTGGTGATTGCACGAAACAGTTTTTTTTTTATTGCACTGATATTTTAACCTATTATGTTGATATTTAAAGTGAGAGGAGAAAATTCTAATTAATTTCAACTATTTGGTAATATTAATCAAATCATAATAAAAAATTAAATAATTATATTTTTAATTCTCTTTAATTATTCATAATTAAAAAAATTGGTAATCACATTTCTAATTATCTTTGCTTTTATTTATAGAGGAGAGATTAATGGTTTATTATTCAGCCTTATATTTCAAAAAATTATCACACGGATCTCCTTAATTTTTTAAAAGATAAATTCCATTAAATTTTCAATAAGTTTAGTCGTTTAGCACTAAGCCTGTAAATTTTTTTAAAACTCCCAATACATTTTAGAATTTCAGTAAACCATCAATATATTTTGAATTTTTGCACTTACCACCATAAGGGCACTATCCCATAATAACACTGACGTACATTATCCCTCAAGGCCAATATATACCTCCCAAATTATTTCTATTTTAACTCATAAAATTACAAACAACTACTTAAAAAATACAATTAGCCATCTGAAAAATATGAAACTACAAACAACCCCTTGAATTTTATGAAAATCACAAAAAAACCCTTTAAATTCTAAAAATTACCGACAACTGAAAATTCAAAAAATTACAAACCATCGCCTTTAATTTTTAAAATCTATAGATAATTCCCTTAACACTTCAAACAGGTCTCTTAAAAGTATGAAAATTACAAACAACCTCTTCAAAATCTAAAATTGCAAAAAGACCTTTGACAAATCTAAAAGTTGAAAGAACACTCTAAAATTTCAAAAAATACAAAGAACTACCAATACATCTGGATATTATAAATAGTCCCCAAAATCAAAAATTACAAACAACACCTTTTAAAATCTTAAAATTAGAAACAACCTCCTGAAAAATCTAAAAATTACATAGAACCCTAAAAATAATAAACAACCATTATTAGGGGTTTTCCACCAAAAGTTATTTGGGTCAAGTGAGAAAACTAAAAATTATTGGGTGTTTTCTTCCAAAATTTATTAAGGGTATTTTGGTCATTTGATTACACATTAACTAACAATGTTAATTTGGGAGCTTTCTGCCAAAAGTTAATGAAGGTTTAATAAGAGTTTGAAATGTGTAGGAGTTTAGTGTCAAATGCCCAATCTTATTGGGAGTTTAGTGAAAATTTACCCAATATTTCAATTTTTGGAGAAGATAGATATTTGTAGTCTATTAAACGAAAACTTAGATATAGAAAAAAAAACAAATCAACCCGTGCAAGCAGGGACATAACGCTTGTTTGTATTGATTGCATAAAATTGATTGATTCCTTATCGGATACAAACAATAATCTAAATGCTTCCTAACAAGAGAAATTGAATATTTTGAAGGCTAAATAGCACTTATATACCCAATTGTTTTATCTACTTTCACTTATATATTCTTACTTGCATTTGATAGCAAGAAAATATCTTAAGGCTTTTAAACTTGCACTTATATACCCTCACTTATTTTTGTTAGCACTTATATACTCTAAAGTTACTAAAACTTGCACTTAAGTACCCTAAAGTTACTAAAACTTGCACGTACATACCCTAAAGTTTTTAAATCTGATATTGTTTTTAAAACTTGCCCTTAAATACCCTCAAGTTTGCATAACTGAGGGTATTTATGTGCAATTTTAAAAAGTTTAGAGTATTTAAGTGCTAGTTGTAAAAACTTTGTGTTATTCAATTGCTACTAAAAATAGTGAGCGTATGCAAGCGCAAGTTTAAAACTTTTTAGGGTATTTATTTGCTACCAAATACAAGTTGGGGTGTACAAGTGAAATTTTTTTTTTGAAATAATAGGGTATATAAGTGGTATTTAGCCTACTGAACCCTATAATGTCAGTTTTGTTTACATTTTCAATTGGGTAATTTCAATAATTTCCCCTTCAAATCTGTAATACTTGGAGAAATCCCGCCAATTATTGAAATTGCTATTTAGGTCCACCATGTCTTTATACTTTGTCGTAAAATGGACATACTTGGATGAGAAAGTAAGATGCGATATTTGTATCCAAATCTATTCGGATGCATATATGGTTACTAAAAAATCCGCATTTGGTTTTCTTATATCTGTTAATGTACTATTAAAATGCATTTGGTTTTCTTATATGCTATTAGGTCCATCGTACTTTTCCATATCTATTAATGTACTCTCCCGTATCATATGAACCATGCATGTGTTCAATCTTATGTTTTCTTACATCTCTGTATCTGAATTGATAAATGGATCCGGATACGATAAATATCAAATACCCGAGCTATGTCTGATTTGTATGCACCCAAGCGCAAGATGAGGCTAATAAGTCGGCAAATAATTAGGTTTGGTGGGTCTATATGCAAGTATATGATTGATTGAAACCACGAAAGGCGTATAAAATATGCAACTGAACCCTAAAATCAACGCAAGTAGAGCAGTCCAGCCCGATAAACCCAACACCGACCTATGCCCCCGAAAAACCCCCGACAAAAACCCTAATTCGGCCAGAATAGGAGCTCGTTCTCTCGGTAATTACGAGTTATGACGACCAGAATCGCTCCAGGAGTGGGAGCGAATCTCCTCGGCCAGCACTCCGCCGAGCGCAACCAGGAAGCCACCACCTACGTCGGCAATCTCGATCCTCAAGTGAGTTCTTTTGTTTCCAACAACAATTCCAACTCTAGGTTTTTTTCTTGGTGCCCTTCTTCTATCAAATAGAACTAGGGTTTAGTTGTTATCCTTCAGATGCTTCTTCTCAACTTCATTAAGGGGTTTAGTTTCAAATTTAAATCGGGTGGGTTCCAGCTCACAGGATCTAGGGCGTGACTGTCACTTTCAATCCCCGTCTTCAAAAGTCCTTTGCTTTCTCGAGAATGTCGCTGAGTTGAAAGATTAGAGATGGTTTCTGATAGTTAACGAGCCCTCAAAAGCTACAATTAGAGAATTTGGGTCGAATATTGATGGTAAAAAATTAGACATTTAGAATACTTGTAGAGAAGATATCTGTTAAATTAGTTAAGCTATTATAATTTGGAATGTAACTTCACACCTTCTAGTTTATAGTTTTATATTCTAACAAACTTCCGTGCATTGACGCCTTTCCCGTCGGCCGAAACCTAGACTCACACAGCTATACTTTTATTTGTTCTTGAATCCGTTCTAAATTCGTGGCAGAAGTGAATTGAACGGATGTGGGTTGCTCTGATACATCGAAACTCTTAAGATGCGGTGAGGGTTATTAAATTTAAATTCTAACAATTATTATATTAAAATTACATTAAAAAAGAAAACCAGGTGAAAGAATTATGTTCAAGGAATACCAAAGAAGGTGATTTAGAAATTGCACTTTTCTTAATTCTTAATTTTATAAACTGGCATGAATCATGGATTTATATTCCTTTAATCCTTTATGCGAGATTAAATGGTAGCATTGATTGTAGTACCTGTATAGGGATCTTGGAATTGACATTCCTTGTATGCACCTCTTGTGTGCCAGTATTAGAGACATTGTACCAACATTACCAAACTTTTTGGCATTGTTCGATTCATAGTGCTTGTATAGGTTCTGAATGCATTACTTTGGATGGTACATCCTACATAGCACATTAGGCTTTTAGTACTGACCATGGTGTGGTTGAGGGAACTGTTTAGATTATTTTAATAATTACAATTTGCACAAATTTGTAGTGTTTGGAAACAGAAGACATATCTAGTTGAAGAAGACCTGCACAAATTATGACAAAGTAAAATTTCAACTTTCCAAACAAATTAACAACCATGATGTACTATAATTAAAGGAACAATGGAAGTTCAAATCCAAGCTTATGTTGTACAGCTTGGAAGTGACTACTCCTTTAGGACAAAGCCAAATGCTAGTTCTATAAACCGAAAAGACCCCATCATCAATTAGTATTACTTTTAACTCTTAGAGCATCTCCAACCACAAAACCCAAAATAGTGTAGGTTTTACACCAAGTTGGTGTAATTTTTACACCAAATCACTATTACATCTCCAACCCATTACACCAAATTTTACACCAAAAAAGAATATTCCTTTTATGATTCTTATCTTTTAAATTTTTTTACCTATTTTAAATATTTAACAAATTATATATTATATAATTATATAATACATTACATATAATTAATTATAATAATATATTTTATGAATAAAATACAAATATAAAAATAATTCTTAATCAAGGAAAGTGGCTTTCCATCAAAGCCCCGGATCCCCCAAATTTCTTCTCCTCCTCTTCAACCTTCTTCCCTTTTTCAAACCCAGCAAGCTTCTCCTCTTCCCTCACCCCCAACAAGCTTCGAAGCCTTCTGTGAATCAAATCATCAAACACTTGAAACCTCAAGACCAAATCCACAACATGCTGAGCCTCCTTCCTCTGCTCGTGGGCTTGAAGCAGCACCGATTCTTTCTTGCTTGTTGAAGGATGGAGAAGAGCTCGGGGGACATTGGGGGCTTCTGTAAAAATAAAAAAAAGAGTTAAATTACTGCGCCAAAGCTACAGTATTGCACCAAATCTGGCGCAATACTGTAGCAACTCATCAAAATAGCGCTGGATTTAGCGCTCGGTTGGAGGGGGATTTAGCGTTGGGTTTGCGTCATCTTGGTGATTTACCGCTCGGTTGGAGATGCTCTTAGGCTGCTAGTTTTGTGCACAAGCTGAATTGTGGTTGGAAGGAAGGTGCAAAAAATAAGGTAGTATTACCTTTTACATTGTTGTTCTTGTAATATAGAAGATTTTAGGTGTATACTATATCTATATTCTGTAGTGTACATGATGTACAGCAATAATTTGCACAGTAATGCAATTATATCACTGTACAATTTTTGAAAAGGATGCCTTATTTCTGATCTCAGTTTCTTGCTTGTGCAAGACCTTGAGATTAAAATCTCACAGGCGTTCAGAACTTTTGATTATTAGCAATATTATATACTTTCCTGCCATTGTGGTTCTCTATTGAAGGATCAACATCTTCTATGCATTACTATTATGATATTTTTTTGTTCAAAAAAGCCTGTTCTTTTTTCCTTGTAATTATTTGTTCCTAATTAGTCCTTTGTTCATGTGGTATTTATTTGACTTTCCTGTTACCCGTTATTGTCTCATGATGCAGGTCGGTGAGGAGCTACTATGGGAGTTATTTGTCCAAGCAGGACCTGTTGGTAAATTTTAAGTTTCAATACGCCAGTTTCTTTTCTTACTTGGGCCGTTATCCTTTTTCCTAGTCCCTTCTCTGTCTTTATCTTGCTGCTAATTAAGTTCCATTCAAATATCTCAATGACAAACCCCCTGTGGTTATGTGGAGATCACTTCTTCAAGTAAGGAGAAATTGATTGGAGTTGGTTTGCTAGCAATTCTGGGCATAACTTAGGAGCAATTCAATCTTAAGATTAATGGAATTTGCCATGAATCGACTCTGCTTAGAAACGGAAATCTAGTTAGAAGGCTCGTATGCTTAATTTCATGTTGCAAGTTTCAAAACAGGTCTAATCTTTTGGCAAAAGAGGATGGCCATTTCCAAGTTATTTGTATAAACCAGATAACTTAGTGCCATGCTAGTTTTCTTTCTTTTACTCAATACTAAAAACTGAAGAAACATAGTGTTAGAGCCTTCTAATTCTACGAAGACAGAGAAATGGTTTGGAATGAGTCAAACTTGATGCCGTAGTCTGTTATGTATTACAAACCTACAATTGAAACCGAGGAAACAAAGGGAGCAAATGGGGAAGCATATAATGTGGGTTGTATGGTATATTGCTGAAATTGATGACAAGTGGCTAGTGGAAGAGGACCTTACCTATAAGAAGAGAAATCTAGGATAGATATTCATGAGTGGTTTCAACTTGAAGGACGACCAAGTAGCACTATATAAAAGGAAAGAGGTATAACTATCAGTTTCTTGTAAAGTTGATCATTTAATTGGTAATTGTCAGTTTTCATTTATCTAGTAAGTACTGTTATGCCAATTAGTAATAAGACCAAAATGGAAGAAAAAAGAAAGTAGTCTAGAGGAGCGAAAAAGACAAAAATGAAGAAAATCAGGGTACCATGCTTCAAGATGAGAGTGCTTGATTTCTCTGGTTGTTATTTTGGTTTATTAGTTTTTTTTTCCTAGGAGGGGTTGTGGAATGATTTAGGAAGTTAGCTTCATAAAACTAATTATGGTATACTATGGTTGAATTGTGTTGTCATTTGATTAAAGGATTTATAGTCATTAGATTTATATGTGTGTTATTTATATAATTATTTCCCTTCCACTATCCATCATATATTTGTTTATATATTGCATGTACCTAGAGAATTTCTTCACAAGTTAATTTGTCTTATAACACAATACAAGATATTTATAGAAAATGATACACAACAAACATCCTGATTTGAGAGGTTAAAAAACATGCTTATGAAGGGGACAATAACTAGATGTTTAATGATAGCATTCAAAGTCTTTTGGTCCATGTTATATATTTGCAGTGTTATCGAGGCGCAAGGCGCAATGCGGGGCGCAAAGGTCCCTTACGCGCACCATGCGCAAGGCGCACAACGAGGCGCGCGCCTCACTTAATTGAGGCGCATAACTCAAACTAATATTTTCCAACATAAGATAAAGAAGCATATAAGCAACATTTTTATAAATTATCACATAAAAAGACTAAGAAATATAATTTCACCTACTAAATCAAGAAAGAGTCTTAATTAGCATGCATAACATAAAGAAGTTCATATGTTTCCACACATCACAATGTAAGATAATATCCAACACGAGCAAAAGTCTACGAAATAAAATAAGCAAGTAGCAAAATAACAAAGTTTCTAGTCATCCTCCTCCTCCTCCTCATCATCCAACTGAAGTGGCTCATCATCCTCAGTTTCCTCCTCTTCTTCATTAAACTCATCTTCATCCTCCGAGTCCGGCTCCCTCCTCCTAATGATATTCTGAAATTTCCCTCATCCTCACTTAATTGAGGCGCATAATATTTGTATTCAAACTCGTGATATGACAAAGAGGCAGTAATTAACATATCTTGCAAATACATAAATGAATTTGCCACGTACACTTCTAAAGAAAGGTGAGTTTGTTGCATTAGAGGAGCTTTGTCCATAAATTTCAGAATATCATTAGCATAAATTTCAGAATATCATTAGCAATGTTGTAAAAAGTACCATAGCACCCCACGTCCCCACCTAGGCGGAGGCAGTGCCCAGGGTGTCCTATAACTGCTTGGGCATTCCAAAACATGAATGATGGGAGCACCTAGGCTAGGCGCCCCATTAAACGAGCCACCCAATCTAAATCACATGGACACATGTATAGGTACTGGTGTGACTATGGGCATGGGTACGGGACAAACTATATACATTATTGGAAATTAATAATTGAGTTAAATGAGCCACCCAATCTAAATTGCATGGACTCATGTATAGGTACTGATGGGGACACAACTATATATATGTATTGAAATTAATAATTTACATAAGATGAATAATATTTTTTCTTACATGTTATGAGTAGGAAAGTTCCCATGACATTTCTATGTTTTTCTTATTATGTAAAATATAAAATGCATTTCAAAATTACTCGTTTTTAAACAAGATACCCTAACTCTAAAATCCTAGTTCTAAAGTGGGTATGCACGGAAACAAACCCATCCAACAAGTTTAAATTGGATGGATTTAGGGTTAAATTCCTTGGGAGCCAAGTCGAACTCACTTCCTCTATCCCATGCACACACAAACATGCAATTTTTGTTTTCATTCATGTGTAGAGAAATAGAAAAGCCAAAGTTATTATTCATCTAACTCTAACACCTCTCTTAAATAGAGATTAGGAGAATATTACAAAATAGGTATGAGATAAAATCATATCTAATCACATCTCATATTATCTCAACAATATCTCGTAATATCTTCTAAGTCTAAATATTAATAAATAATAATACCTAACATATCGCATGCAGGTAGGTAGATGACACTACTCATATCTTGAATTCTTTTAGGATTTTTCGTATCCACAGTGCTCAACATATGTAACCGTACAATACTACATAGATTTATGTCTCACTACAATGAAAGTGATTATGGTTGATCTTTGTCTTACTTCATTTATGTAAATATTTTTGGAAGTGGCTTGAAACATCAGTTTTCATGCTAGTTACCAAATACCAACAGTTTGTTATAGTCCTTGATTTGATCTAATTAACATATTCCTATGTATTAATCATCATGCATGAATATTTTCTTTCGTAGTTCTGCATGCATTTGTCTTTATTTTTAAGACAGAAAGGTTTAAGAGCTGTATCACGTGCATCTCATATTTTACTATTCGTGCTCGGAAGTTCATTCTGAATGGGCTGGTGAAAGCTTAAAATTGATGTGCATGACATTCATTATCTATCTTCTTTTACAGTGAATGTCTATGTTCCAAAAGATAGAGTTACAAATCTCCATCAGGGATACGGGTTTGTGGAATTTCGAAACGAGGAAGATGCTGATTATGTAAGTATTTATAAATTTCCTTGTTAATTTTGGCATTTAAGTTTGTGGTCATACATGTTAACCACAATTTACTAGGAGGCAGAGGATTACTTTAACGATGTATGTTCAATTTATATTCTGTATCTCTGCAGGCTATCAAGATATTGAATATGATAAAACTTTATGGAAAGCCGATACGTGTGAACAAGGTATCGTACATTTACACTTAATCGTATGAATTTCTTCACTGAAAATGTCATTTTTAATCATCATCCAACATTCCAAGTTAGATAGTAGTTTCAATAATTTTCGTTGTTGTCATTTTAAGTGTAATCTAATTCAGAAAGCTTATTTAGAAGAAAGTAAAACATAATTAGATTTTATTTCAGAGAGAGAGAGATGGGGTTGAAAATGATGAGTTCATTGTCTGCTTTGGGTCCGATGTCATGTTTGCCTTCCTATATACATTTCATATTAAAAGAAATTTGTAGATATGGAATGGAAGCGGCTTTGGCTGTGTCTAGTTCATGTTGCCAGTTTCAGTGATGCACAAATCTATTAACTGTGTTTTTTTATGTCTGCATTCTGACTGCATTCAGATATTTGTCCGATTGAGTCGCTAAAAACTATAGTTTGTGCTTTACTGCTTTAGGTTCTATTTACGTATGTTCTGCAAGCTTCACATGGTATTTTATTTGATCTTCTTATTGTGATTTTTGCTTGTAGTTCAATCATTCTTTCGTATCCTATAGGTAGGCTAACGAGCATATAAGTACGCACTTGGTGAAGCAGATAATGTGCCAATTATATTTCAGATCATTGATATTAATTTTCTTCTAGTATATGCCTGATGTGTTGGGTAGCTTTTTAGTGCTTATTGTCCAGGTAGCTGCCTTATTTTTTGCCTTAAAGTAGATGTAGAGAACAAAAGATTCCTTACCAGATTGGAAAGTTTGGAATTACCCTTAACATTCTTGGCTGTTATTCACTTTTTGTATGTAATTTTTAGGCTTCTCAAGACAAGAAGAGCTTGGATGTAGGAGCAAACCTTTTCGTTGGAAATCTTGACCCGGTAATAGTCTTTATCATCCTTAATCTATGTGTACAATGTTTAACCATTGAACTAATTTTTACCGTTTTAATTGTGGTTACAGGATGTGGATGAGAAACTTCTCTATGATACATTCAGTGCTTTTGGTGTTATCGTTACTAATCCTAAGGTGATGCCCTCTTTACTGTTCAGTTTGATGCAAGAATTAGATATCATACATGGAGGAATTATTAGATCAACATGTTGTTTCTATAATTGATTGTGCACTTTTATCCTCTTTGCAATAGTTTCATTATAGATCCTAATTGAAAATGTCTACAAACAGGGACTTACACATTTGTTTAGCTTTCGGTAAATTACAACAGATGTAAGGTTTTATTTATGACTTTTTTTGAGATAACTTCTAGGTAACTGCTAAGCTCAATAACCCCCACAACTACTGAATCATTTGTTTATCTTCTGATTTATCTGATTTAAGCACACTATAAGGAGACAAGGGAGAGATAATATTTCTTCATTTTGGTGATTAGAAACAAGTTTTTGTATTACTTCCATCAAGGGTAAAAGGCCAATTTGGTCCCCATACTTGGAATTTGTACTCAAATTGGCCCTTACACTTTTCCCCTCTCAATGTAGTCCTCATACCACCTCAGTTATAAACTAAGTCCTTTTTTAGTATCTGCTAAAATATGGATTATAATTTTTTGTTTATGACTATATTACCTTCATAGATATGAGGTCCCTGTAAAATGTAAGAGATTGACATCCTTGATTACTCGTCATCTGCACAATCGCAGTCGTAACCATTGTCATGCATAAAAAGACTATTGGAACCGATACTCTCTTTTCCAACCAGTTAGACCCGCACCAACAAAAATCCAATGTGATCATGTTGTAGAATGAATCCACAGGTAACATTTGAATTCTTTTCCATCAAAATTCAATTTCATACAAACCCATTGGAGGCATTTCATTTAACATATCATTCTGTATGTTGGATAGTTTGCCTTGCCTATATCCTTGTTTAAGTGCATTCATTATCACATTTCTCCAATTGCATCTTGATTTTCAACTCGTGATGCTCTAGAAACAATCAGATGTGAACAAGACTATCATCCTAGCTTTATTCTCTGTTGTCAGATACCATAAGCATATTATTTTGTATGCCCCATTAAATTTTCTTTCCAAATACATGTAAGTAAGCTGAACTTTTCAGAAGCAAAGGCCAAAATGATGGAATCCTCTATAATATCACCACAAAAACATCAAATTCCACATATTTCTTTGCCTCAAGCTCCTAAACTAGTAACTAATAAAAGTCAGTGACCAGGCATTCAAAAAAGCTTATTTCATTTGAAGGTCCTGGCATCAATATTTTCAAATTAGCAAGAGTATCCAGCAACGTAAATAATATGAACATAGGCTAGTAGAGCATGCAGCTGTTCCCTCTAGTATGAATTTTCTCTATGTAAGCAGTTTTTATTGGGTGTTTTGATATAACCAGTTTTTATGGAACCTGAAATAATTTATCAAGAAAAAAAACTTAAAATTTTGGATTCTGGTAATATTTTCCTTTCAAGTTCTATTTAACTGGAAATTTTAATTGGGAGTTAAAATAGAACTAACTTTACAATAAATGGTACAGAGACTAATTTGAGAAAAATAAAGTTTTCTTTTCTATCTTTTTTTTGTTTTTTTTTGGTGTTTTTTGGGGGGGGGGGGGGGGGATTTTGCACTATGAGCCTGGTTCAGAGAACCAAATTGGCCTTTCCGCGCCCTTCTATCAATCACTTAATATCTGTGAGTTACTTTTTGAATCTAATTAGCTACGTGTAAATTATCTAAAACAAGCTTATAGATGCAAGATAAATTTTTTGTAGGTTTTTTATTTGTGTGTGGCAGTGTGTATATATGTATAATATGTTATATGTTTATGTTATATGTGTGGTGTGTGTGTGTGTGTCGTGTTGTGTATAAGCGGACGCAACTTTGCGCTTGCGAAATGAGGCGGCTAGTTCTGATCGCCTCATATTGCTAGTGGGCCATTTTCATTGGGCGTTATTAATTTTTTTTTTTTTTTTTATGGGGGGGGACCATTTTTCAAGTGGAGACCATTTAGATGAGAGTTTTGAAACATGACCACCTCACTACTGCAGGATATGTTTTCCTTAGGCTACCATGCGGCTACCCATTATTCTCACACATATGGCAGTGCACACAACATTTTTTAAGAGTAAGATATTTCTGGACCTGGCATCGTTGGACTGTCTGCTTATATATATATATATATAATATATATATATATATTATACTATATATATATTATATAATATATATAATCCGTTTTTGGAAATTATTAGGCAAAAAACATCCTTTGTTCATTCAATAATGTCAAAACTGAACCTATCATGATTTTTAACACATTTCACTTGGTTTTAGCATGATAGAATCTTTCTTCCATCCAAACACAGTTTTAGGTTGAACTACTTGGTTTTTCACTAATCCTGGCACCAAAATGGATATTGTAAAAGAACAGGCTGGATGAAATACTTAAATTCAAATAATTCTAATCTATTTCTATCCTATAAATCTTAGAAACTTACACTATGCATAAATTATTAAAAATAAATAAAGAAATATTATCTAAATGTTTGCTGATCTTTCTTATCCATCCAAACACAATTTTAATTAGAATTACTGTATGTTTCGTTAAACCTTAACACCAAAGTGGACGTGTTAAAAAACAGGCATGGTAAAGTGCAAACTGTACTACAAAAGCAGGTCATGTTGTAAAAATTCCAAAGATTAGAGATCAGGTATGAAAATGCAAAATCTGAAAAGATATGTTGTTTTTAGAAATATAAGGAGATATATGCTAAACACACTTTTGTTGTTTACCTTTGATTTGTTAGTCAAGAAGTTAAAATTGTTTCATATGACAAAAAATTTGTCACAGAAAACAAATATATCACGGCTTGTTAAATTATAGTATCGAGCCTGTTCTCCAATCAGGGATGCCTCACTTGACGCTATTTCCGGTGGATCACTATAGATACCTTTAGAAGTCTTTAATGTTTGTTGCAACTTAAAAATGTCACCGACAAGCCCATCATTCCAATCATATTTCATTCGTATTCCAACGACAAAACTCATGCAAAGGAGAAAGGTATAAATATATATTAAGTAACTGAAGGCCAGAGTCATTGTCGATTTCATACAACGACCTCACTGTTTTCTAGAAAGTTGTTCTCACTGTGGTCATAAGCACTTTTTTAATCAATTGTTGGCTTATTGTTTATGAATTAATCTCTGTTTGTAGTAATAGGGTGTAAATCCTACATACATATTCACTGCTAGTAGTTGCAGGCTTGCAGCTATAATTATGTGATAACTTTTAGCGTTTAGTGAACTTCCAAGCATTAATCTGAAGATATATATCTGAAAGTAGATTCCTTTTGATACTCCTTTTGTCTGCTAAGAGCTCCTCATTCTCAAGCTTGTTTTAATTGACCGAATAAACTGAAGGTGACAGTAATATGAACTTTCTTAGGTACCAAAATATATTTTAAATTTCCTTCTGACATTTCTCTTCTCTGTGAAGAATTCCTCATTCTCAAGGTTGCTGTAACCGAACAAATAAACTGAAAGAAACAGTAGTGCGAACTTTCTTAATCTTAAGTACCAAATATATTTTAAATTTATCAATCAATGTTGCATTATCTTTCCATTTTAGTGTTACCTAATTAATTTATGTCAGCTCCCTTGAGTTTCTATTAAGGAGATCAATGAGAATTACTGCAATGCTGACTGTATAATGAGCTATTTATCTGTAATGTGTATTTTTCTCTAATAATTACTAGTCAAACTTGTCTGCATTCTTCCAAACCAATTAAACTAAAATCATGGAGTTTGAATTTTGATTATTCAAGCTGGAATCATCAGGTATAATATCGGTACTTGTTTTATAGGTATGAAGCTTTTATTTACTTAATTTTACATGTCTTCAAATGTATATATGAATGTAGCTTTTTTTAAACACCTATGTTGGGTACTATATTTGGAGCCGCACCCGCATCGGACCCGTACCCAACACTGAAACTTCAGTGGACACTCCTTGGATATATGCATACACTCATTCAAATGTGTACTCAATTATATAAGACATGTTTTAATTTAAAACACGACATATACTTCTGGACATATCTCCTACACTCATAAGTTGGATTCATTTTAGTTTGTACCCAGTTCAAAACTATGATTATAAAGGATCTTTTGGATATCAAGGAGACAAGTAATTTCTAATTCATAGATCTATATTTTAGTTGAAACATATAAATGTCATAGGAATTTTATTTTATAGCACATGAAATGAAAAAAAATAATATTAATCTAATGTAAATTATTGTTATATATACATGTATGGGTACCCGTGTCTATACCCTACCTTTAACAAGTATACCATGTCCTGCACCCGCACCTGCACCCATACACGTTTAGTTTTACACAGACACGTATAGATGCATAATTATCAAAGTCACATGTTCAGATGCTTCCTAGAGTATTAAGTTTCTGAGATCCCAACCTAATTAAGCCTCACACCCTTCATACATCAGGCGAAGTAACTCACATTGTCCCTGTAATGAAACAAAAGTAGCTCATTTCATATGATGTCATACTGACTTATTTTAAATTCCTCAGAATAGTTTTTGAGTATTGGTATTTGGTGGAGATGATGACATTTTCATTTGCTGTAATTTCTTTTTTCTTTTTCCTTTATTCAAGTTAATATGACATGAGTTAGTTGGTTCCAGTTATCATTTTGGATTGTGAGTACAACTCATTTGTTGGTCAATTGTCTCTTGAGAATTGATTGGTGGTCTAGGTAATATGAAGATAATACTGCCTCTGTAAAAATAGGCTATTACAGAAAATTCTGATTGCCAAGGAATATTTATTTTTAAGATGAAATTTTCAACTCCATATTTGTTACATTATTTTCTATTTAATCATTCATAAATTGTCATCAATTTTTTTAATATATAAATAACTAATAAACAATTTCATGAAATAGTTGCTGCATTAATTGATCATCAACTTAGACTTGTATCTTTTTATTGAAATATTATGTATTTCACAACTGCCATAAACATGGTGCTGATACTTTTTTCCCTCTGTCTATTTGTTTTTCCTTGTTTCTCCCATTCAGATAATGCGAGATCCTGAAACAGGAAACTCCCGAGGCTTTGGTTTTATTAGTTACGATTCTTTTGAAACATCTGATAATGCAATTGAGGTATTGTGACTAATTACTTGATGCATTATTAGACTTAGTAAAGATTGCGCGATCAGAACGACAGTTCTGCAGTCTTATTCTGAAAATTCACTTTCAATACTTTTTATTCAATCTTCACTTATTGGTCTTTATCTTATTGTTGTCCGTTTCTGCAGGCCATGAATGGTCAATATCTTTGTAACCGGCAAATCACTGTTTCATATGCATACAAAAAAGACACAAAAGGGGAACGTCACGGAACCCCAGCAGGTAACTTCATCTTTACATTTGATTACTCAGACACCAAAAATAATACCTGTAAAAGTCATAAAATAGTTCAGGTCCTTATCATCAGAGTATTTCCTTTATCCGCATCATCAGAGTGTTTCTCTTATCTGCGGCTTGCAACAGGTTTTTTCTTGCATGTCGTTTTTATTTGATTGTGTGGACTGAATGCTTGTCATACCAAGTTTTTTCTTCATCTAGATTAATTGCAAATCTATTTTGTCACCCTATTTCTCTACTGCTACCTAAGACTGCCGCCATTGGCAGTCTGGGACTATCTGTACTTCCCAACTATTGTCATCTTGCATGCGCATTACTATCATGGTTCTTCTGAATGTGGCATTTGTCAAGCATGTCCTCTCTTTTGTAATTGTTGATACTAGTTTGGCAGTCTCCTGATGCTTTCGAACTTCTTTTGATGCACAGTGCACATTTTCATGTAATTCACTTTTCATATATCAAGAGTAAACTGTTATCAAGTATTAAAACAAAATATATATTACAGTTAAAGTTGCATGCCATTTATTATGGCCTTCTTATCTATTGGAATTGTTCTACAAGAATGTGCGAGTAAATGAAATATGGTTAATTGAAGATAGAGCTCCTGTACTATGGCCCACTTGCAAATAGACCCACTTGTAACTCTGTTCTTGCGATAGGCTTTCTGTAGTTCTATTGTTGCGATAGAGCTCTTTACTATCAGCCAATTGCGGATATAGGATAGAAGTGATCCTCTGCATCCCTAGTTGTAGAGTTGAAGAGAAAGTCTACAGCTGACCAATAATTTCTCTTCATAAAGCCGGTCCCATGAGTGATTCATTAAGTGGATCCCATGAGTGATATTGGTTACAATAATTGTGGGGCCCACTAAGTGAATCCGTGTTATTGATCCGTATAATTAATAGTGGCAATTCTCTACAATTAATGTTGTAGAGAATCTCAACCTGCGGATATACCCCCTGAGCTAAAATTTTCTTTTTTAATCTTTTACCCTTAGGAGGTCTATTTATAAATAAATAAAGAAATGAATAAAAAAAATCTTCCTCTGAGCTAAAAGAGTCAAAAAAGTTTACTTGAGAGGTCTATCGGCAAAAATAGAACTACAGGGTCTATCCGCAATTAGTACAAGGGGCCTATCCTCAATTAACCCTATGAAATAGATTCTGTGATATACAAACATTTTAGGATAATTATTAACAATGGTTTCTATATATTTGTTCTCCCCTTGTTTTATTTCTTATCCCCATCTGAAGAACTCTCTGTCACTGTATGCAGAGAGAGTCCTAGCTGCAAGCAATCCAGGGGTACAGAAGAACAAACCCCATACTCTGTTTGCCAGTGGACCTCCTACCCTTCCCAACGGCGCCCAAGTCAATGGTGCCCTGGCCACACCCATCCCACCTCGGCCATTCGCCAACGCCTCAATTCCCCCTCCAGTTCGGCCGATTCCACCTCCTGTCGGACAATTCCCACCTCCGATGCATTTTGGCGGGCCCCCATCATGGCCTGGTGGGCCTCAGCAACCATCGCATCCTCTAATGCAACAGTTCAGACCGCCTCCGATGAGGCCTCCGCCTTCGAATATGCCACCACCTCCACCCTCAGGCATGATGGCCCCATTGCCGCTTCTTCAGGCGCCGCCGGCGGGCCCGCGGCTCCGCCTCCGGCTCCGGCCCGCCGCCGGGCCGGCCGGGGCCGCGCGTGGCCGCCGCCTGGTGGGCCTCCACCACCACCACTATGGGAGCACACACCTCCTACGCTCAGCAGATGCGGGGGACGACCAGGGCCTCCACCTCCCATGTCAATGATGCCTCCTCCGCCACCGCATTCGGTTGGATAACTATTTTGATGAGGTTGCTGGCTTTTGTAGAATGTGACTGATTGATGTTGCAGCAGTTCTCTGAGTATCGTCTTGAGAGGGTATTAGTGCTCTAATTAAGAGAATATATGAAGTTCAAGCTGAAAATTGGTTATGAATACTGGTTTTTTGTATGTTAATGAGTTGCTCGGTAATGAATTCAGATTGCTGGAAACTTTGGTCTGTTGGAATTTATATATCCTGGTTTATCGACGACGTTAAGCACAGGCACCTGTGGACATATTGCCCATGTCCTGAGCTTAAAAAAAAAGGGGGGGCGGGGGACCTGGATTTGGATCATGACCTTTGTTTCCAAGTGAAGGTTCTTGCTTATGTTTACCATGCTCTTTCAGTATATTGGGTTGGTTAGTATTCAGGTTGTCTAAGCTTTGCATGCACGTACGTGTTCGAGGGGGCTTAGTTGTTGATATCTTTCATCGAAGTTGGTGTTTACACGGGATAATATCAATTAGTTGGCTTACCGAGCTGCTCAAAAAAAAAAAAAAAAAAAAAAAAAAAAAAAAAAAAACCCTCGCAAGAGCCACTGAACTTCGCTTTTTCCTTTTATTCATTTTGCACGTTTGAGGGTGAATTGAACTGAACCCGAATAAGTTTGTGCGTTCTACACTTAGAACTCCAGTAATAAATTTAAAAACTATCACTTAACCGTAATGAATTTTGACAGGAACCCCTAAATTAACACTGTTAATTTAACTATCATTTTAAGATGAATAAGTGAAATACCCTTCACCTTTTTAAATATTTTCAGTAATGGATTTTTGCACAAACACTCATTTTTATCAATTTTTTTCGTATACATATATACCTTTTTCTTCATCTCTCTCATCTGCCCTTAACTTAACGCCTAATATGCACCCCCCCCCCCCCCTCCCCCCTATCCTTCCCCCCCAACGAGCAAAATGAGTGCGCCATTACTTGTGACATTGGTGTCAAAATGTCAAAAAGTAATGGCTCAAGAATTTAGTTTAAAAATACGAATATCCAAATATACTTAACTAAGTAAAAAAATATAGCACGTTACACCAAAATATACAAACCTACACCCATGAAATAGCTAAAATACAAAGTGACATTAAATTTAATGTGATGAAGTGTTTTGCATCTAAAAGTGTTTTTGAAAGAGGACGAGATTAAAAGGGGTTAAATTTCAAATAGACCACTTAGGGGCTGTTTGGTTCATTTTTTTTTTGGTAAAAGTGGGGAAAGTTGCCAAAAATGTCAGCTTTATGGCAGCTTTCCCCCAAAATCACCTCTTAAAAAGGTGATTTTGGGAGAAAGCTGTCAAAAAGCCTTAAAAAGGTGATTTTGGGGGAAAGCTGCCAAAAAGCTGACATTTTTGACAGCTTTCTCCTTTTTTACCACCCAAAAAAACCTATCCAAACAGCCCCTTAGTAATGCCCAACTGTACGTAAAAACCTCATGTAGTTGTATTGGTGCGGATAAATCTCCCGTAGTATTTACTTGAGGGCTGATAGACCCCCTCCTTGAACCTTTTTGACTATTTTGAGAGTTAAAATAGTGAACAATTGGAAATCTATCCGCCCCAAAGGAGATCTCGAGCATTTATTATTATTATTATGAGATTATTTGCTAAGGGCTCCATTGTTATATTTCACTAGATAGAGTGCATAGAATTTGGCCTATTGAAATGAAGACGTTTTGCCCATTTTAGGAAGACAAAATTGTTCCGAGAAGAAAAAGAAAAATCATGGCAACTGATTGAGAAACCCCATTATGTATGCTCACTCGAAAAATGAGATATCCATTCACCACTGTTTAGAGAAGTGTTTTTATATGGAAATCACCTTTAAAATAGAGGTGTAATATTGAAACCATCTTTCTTATTTAATTTATATGTGAACCACCTTAATAGTATCTTTCGTTTCAATCAACCACCAAAACCCATTTTCTGTTTATTTTTATCAAAATTCCTTAACTACCCTCTTGTAACCATGCCCTAAATCTAGAGGTAGAAAAAGACGGAAATGGACCACTCAGAGAATGGTGTCAGAGCAAGGTCAAAATCGAAGTTCTGCTGAAGTCTTGTAATATAATATTGTAATTTTTATTTCTTGTCAATAATATGAAGTTCTAAATTTCTTTCTTTCTCCAATCTCTGTCTTCATTATGTAGTTTAATTTCTGCTATTCTTTTTATATTTTCTTTATTTATCAAGTTACGCCTAGAGGTAGGAAACGAAACTAGACTATGCTCGCTCTCTCTGAAGCAGCATGCTAGGATTATGGTCACGAGTAGTGCAACATTCATGCTGCAAGTTTGAGTCCTTAGTCTATAGAGAAAGCCATCTTCAAACGGTCTGTGTTTAGCTGGAGAGAAGAGGGTCAACTCTTGATAGGTATAAGTAAAATATAGACCGAAATAGTAGAAGATGAAAAACATAATAAGAAATAGGGAAATGAGAAAGAAAATTAACTATGTCTAGATTAATGTTAGAAAATTGTAAAATAAGTGCTGAACCTATGAGTTAAGCATTTACTTCATTTACCAAAAGACTTAAAAGACTTCCCAACCACCCATGATTTAGCTTTCATGCTAAATTTTGTAATTGATATGATATATCCTTTAGAATAAATGAATACTAATATTCTAAATCTTCAAAAACAAATTGAAGAAATTAAGACTTTAAAAATAAAAGATAAAAGTCCGATCTAGAATGAGAAATCACCTCGAAAATGGCACTAGACAAACAATTTAAATATGATGATGAAACCGAAGGGTCTAACAGATATCTTTCAACTTGAAACTTTTAGTTCTTCAAATAGGGTTGTATTAAGATAGCAAATACAAACCCTAACACAACAAGTCCATGATCCTCAAACAGAATTTGCTGCTTTAAAGCAAGCAAATCAACTGTTAGACAATAATAATATTGAACTATTACTCTGATGATAGTCAAAATGACTCAACATCAGAAGTAAGTGAATATGAAGATACTCTAGTCATAAACATGGATGATACACCCATGATAGAATATGGAGAATCTTCAGTCACTAACCAACCCACACAAAACCAACCTCCCCAAGAAGGAACTGGTTTAGGAACCAATTTTCCATCTGGCCAGTGGTAACGTTTAGCAAGGAAAGAAAATTGGAACCAAATGTTTGGATTACCAAAATTAATAGGTTCTGAGCCAAAGCCATCCTCTTCGCAAATAAAGCGAGGAGATTTATAGTTTTATATGCAGACCAAATACAAAAGCATATATGAGGAAGCCACATGCCATAAACCCGTAAGTACGGGAGGACTCTATTTTAATATAGACAACATCGCGATTAGAGAAAGAGCCAACTATGTAAATAGATGGACACAACATATTATATAAATAATGAATTTCTATGAATGGAGTACACCCCAATTCATAGAATATGTTACTTCCTTATTTGATGGCATAGCGGCTGATTGGGTAAGATTAGTAGATATCATGAAAGATGAAAATAAATAAAAAATAAAAAATATGACACCAGAAGCTGCTCTTGCAATAATAATGGATGAGTTTTGTAAAGACTTATGTGGGCAACATTTAAACAAACCTGACCCTGACATAGAAAAAACTCATACAAATGAGACAATGTCAGATTTGTTATGTAGAAGAATTTTTAATGGAGCTAGTCTATTATCTTGAAAACAAGCAACGAATAGACTGGTGGACAGAAAATGTATTTAAAAAATTACCTAGGTCATGAGACAGTCTTTTGGAAGAATCATTCCTAAAAAATGTCCCCTCTCAGAAAAGGTCTAGTAATAATCATATTTTATTACAATTTTATACCCTCATTATCTATTTTATATGAATAAATATGTCACTAATAATTATTTTTATCTTTAAATGCAGGTTAATGAAGAATAATTCTAAAAATCCCATCTCTCATCAAAAGCCTTTGATTTAATGAAGAAATAAAGCAAAGAAGCCCATTGAAAAATCAATTGCCAAATTATCCAAAAGCCCAAGCTAAAAAGAAGAATTAAAGTTTAAAATGCCAAAGGCCTAAGCCCAAAAACCAAACACAAGAAGAAGCTGCAGGCTGAAAAAGGAGAGAAGCAGCCATCGATAAGCACATCGATGGGCACATCGATAAGCCTATCGATGCGCCTATCGATACCCACATTGATACGCTTATCGATGCCCGTATCGATAGCTACGACATTCTGTTACAGATCAAAGGCTGAAATTTATTAATTTTGGATAAGATTTGAATCCAATGGCTCTCATTCACTGATGTTTACTATAAATAGGGGTAGAGAGTGAGGGGTTAGGGGTGTAAAAAATTTTGTAACTCCATTTGGAGAGGAGAGCTACTCTTAATTGAGAAGGTCTTCCAAATTTATAACTTATGTTACAATTAATAAAAATTTTTCCCCACTTCAAATCTTCTTCTCTTTGTTGGATGATGATGATGGAGATGAAGAAAAGTTTGAAGGTTTGCTTTTCTTTTATTTTTCTCTTTTATTTTTTTTAGTAATTTTTTTATTATTGCTTATTAGTTAGATTTATATTCATGATTGTAGTGTAGATTTATTTTCTTGTCTTTTTATTTCTTTTTGCACTTTAATTTATAGAGTAGATTTATTTTCTTGCATTTAATTTTTGTAATTTATTTTATAGTTTAGATTTTAATTCTTTGTAGTTAGATTTATTTCTTATTCATAGTTTAGATTTTTCTTTTCTTTTTATTTTTGCAATTAGTTCTTTTTCTTCTTGCTTTTATTTCTTAAGATGTGAAATTAATTCTTATAGGAATATTAGAATTGTATGAAACTAGTCTAATTTTCTTTATATTGTATGGATTATTCTCTTACATTTAAAATGTTCATGTTTAGGATAATCAATTAGAAAACTAATTGGTAGAAGAAGAATTTGATAATCTATGATTATTTTAAATGGTTTGATAGGTTATGCTTATGAATTTTAGGATTACTATCTTGTTGTTGTTCTTATCATGAATTTTGATAGGTTATGCTTATGAATTTTAGGATTACTATCTTGTTGTTGTTCTTATCATGAATAATAATTTTGACTTAGATGATAATTTGATAGGTTATACTTTCCTTAAATGGTTTGATAGTCTATGCTTAATAAATCTAAGTTGAAATATGATAAAAGAGAATAGTTTGTATTTTATAATTGAGATTAGCTAGTGGATTTAATTTTAGATTTCTCATATCTTTAATTG